GACAGGGGGTGGGGGTGTGGTATTTTGTTACAGCAATGAATGAAAAGTAAGGAAAGGCCCGGATAAAGTTTTGTTGATTGACATGGCCTAGGCCAATGGGGGGCTTAGCTTTTGCTTCCGAGGAGACCAGGTCAGCATACAGTAGTAAATGTAACACTTCCAGGAGGATATAGTAGGATACCTTTTCTCCAGTATTTGTTACAAAGACAAGCCAGTGATGGGTTTACAATGGTTGAGCTGCATGTGAGCCCACAATCTTTTTTGTGGCAAATTTATTTATTTATTTATAAATGTATTTGGTTGTTACAGGGTCTCAGTGTGCAGCTCACACTCATAGTACTCCTTCTGTTTTCAGCCTCTTAAAACGCTCTTAGAAAAGGTGGCTTTTGGTGCCAAAGCTGATTTCTGCTAAGTGCCCCAAAATGGCTAAAGGAACGGAATGCTGCAATGTAAAAAAATGACAGATCTTACTCTGACCTAAATAAGATTTGATTGGCTTTTGTTCTTCTCTCGAGGCTAATGTTGATGGGCCCTAACTTCCAGATGTGAAAGTTATGTCAATCTACCTCAGATGAGTTTTTTGGGTTTTTTTTTTTTTTTTTTTTCAGATAAGCATTCCTGAGATACTATTGACAGGTTGTTTCTCTTACTGTGAGAGTCTGTTTTCTCATAGATAAATATTCCTGGATTTGTCTGGGGCCAGAGGCCCCATGAGGTTTGTTTTCCTTGTTTGCTTTGAATTTGTTGCAAGGAGAACCCTGTGTTACTTACCTTACCTGAGCATCCATGGGAACGTTGGTGGTTTGTTTTGGTTTGAAATCCAGCCGACAGTCTAAATTAGTAAAGTTAAAAAAAAAAAAAAAAAAGGAAACCAAAATTTTCCAGGATGTTGTTGTCCATTTGTTTGTTTGCATGAATTGTTTGTTCTCTGTCCCCAAAGCACCTGCGTGCCCAGCTGCACTTGTGCCAGGGTGAGGGCAATGGTATTTGTCCTGTTCTTCTTTCCCTTCTTGCCTTTTGTGACACTCTACCTGCAAATGCAGAAGGGCCCAGTCCGAGCTTGATTGCCCTATTGCGTTGCGGTTATTGCAGCTGTGTCAAATTACATTAGTTTTGGGCTTCTACTGTGTGGATCCAGAGGGGACACCCCTGGGACCTTTGTTATGGCCAGAACAGTACAGGGTAAACCGACTCTCCTGGGCTGCATGATCTGAGGCTTTGATGGGTCCTGAGGTGAATGTGGGAAATACTTTTGGGATTTCTGGTGTCTCATCCTGGGCGCTGTGCTGCCCAGCGGAGCCGCAGCCACGGGTGCTTCTGCCGCTGCCCCTGCTTCGTCTTCTGGGTTTTCTCTCCCTCTCTCTGCACCCTCCTCTCACTGTTGAGCTGATAGCAGGGTAACCGCAGCTCATGGAGCTCACTAGCTCAGCTCACGGGCCCTTATTTGTCCTGCCTTTTCTAAGGAGGTTTACTGCTCCGCTGCAGCCACAAGGAGAGGATTCTGAGTCCCTCCCCCAGCCTGAACGTTTTCTGGTTGTCTGTTGCAAACTGCAAAAATAAAAAGTCTGCAGGAATAAGTTACTGCTTCATAGTAGAAAAAAGTACAAAATAAAAATATAGACTGGAAAAAAGTGTTTTATCCTAAGTTAACCTGGCCAGAAATATATTTAAGTGCACTCTGGTTTTATAAACATATTTGTTTGGCACTTATAGTATTTAGATGCCAATAGAATATTCACCTCTGACAGGACAAAATAAATAAATAAATAAATAATTTTAAAAAAGATACAAGGGAAAGATCATTTTGTATTTATATATACAAAATAGGATAAATTTACAGCTACTTTCACTTAACTCAATGAGAAGAAAGAGGTGTACTAATAGTGTTTGGACAGGAAATCCTGTCTGCTTCTTGTACTATGGACAACCACTAAGAAGATAACAATGTACAGTGTATTGACTATCAAAACTGTCCTGTTAATCAGCTGTG